TAATCTGATAGGGGCACCAGCAATCAGCACACTCAAATAACTACTACAGGGCATATGTGATTGGTTACCTCCCTACAATGGCCACTTTAATTTTTTGGCCCAGCAGACAGTCCATACATTGACTGTTGTTTAAACCTCGTTACAATGGCAACGGCCACTATAGCATGCCCCCAATTGCCCAAATAACCTCTTCACAATGACCAGTTTCTTACAGGAACTGACGTAAAATTTAAAAAATGATCACAAAATTTGATCCACATAGTGCCCCCGCCCCCCACCAGAAAAAAAAATTGGAGTAGATTGCTTCTGTATGGGAATAATTCTGCATAAATTAAAAACAGTAGTTTCCACCGACCAAAATTTCCGTGGCTCATGTTCCATGTCTCAAAATGCTGGTTCATGCGCCTTTTTTTCATCCATTTAAAATCGCTCTACTCTATACTGAGTAAGAAAAATATTCTTACAAGTCCCTATTAAAGGAAAAGATCCATGATCTTATCTAAGCCTTCCCACAGGATACGGAAAGACATTAAATAGAAATGAAGTGTTAACAGGTCAGATGCGACTCATAAGCTCATGACAGCGTGAAACGTACATGTAACCTTTAACGTTTTCCTCGAGCAAAGGTTTTCCTTGTTTTTTTCCTAGCACCTAGATTATCTATCCTAGTGCATGGGGTACCATAGACTTTAACTGAACAAATCTTATTTACTGAGTCTTGCATTCAGAGGTCATGAAGTTGGCGTGTCTCATGCGTTTTGAGTTATTACATGTATTTCCTGCGGAGTTATGTTTCTGTAGGTGTGTTGTTATGACAGGATTTGATCTTGGATGCCATTTAGTACCAGTTTTTCTTTGACCTGTTAGAAGCCTAAAGCTTTTTAGTATGGCTAAAGAACCTTTTAGTTTCTTTTCTTTTCTCCGAAATGTCTGGAGCTGATCATGAACAGCTGCATATGTGTAGTTGTCTGGATATGTTGCATGTACCGTTTGGGACAAAATTCCCTTAACTCTTAAAGAACTAAACACATACCAATTCCAAAAACAATTGAAACCTTATTTGCTGTCAGAACAACATAGTTAACATAACTTAAGCATATACTCTTTCTTTCTCAATACATTGTATTTTAAAACTGCTTCTTTGGAAATGAATTCTATCTCAATTCTCTAAAACTTTCAATTCTGGAGAACTGGCTAGAAAATCTTAGGATTATTTCAGCTCCAGGCCTTATTAAGTACAAATAAATATATATATATTTTTTCTCTTTAATGTATGTAATTAATTAAGTACAAGGCGAATAAAAGGGTATTGTATTTTATTTTTATTGTATTGTCCGTGAATGACCATATTCACACCAGAGGCGGATTATCTGTCTGAGAGGGTTATCTAATGGCTACAGTAAAACCCCACGTATAAGAATCTATGTTTTTCCAACTTAGTCTAAATAGGTTCTTATAGAAATGGTATTTAGTGGGATCTTAGGCTACTTAGGTTCTTAATCTGATAGGGGCACCAGCAATCAGCACACTCAAATAACTACTACAGGGCATATGTGATATGGAATACATTGCTGTATTAAATAATTAACTAGAATACAGTTTAGATGATAACCATGTATAGTAATTTTATCTTTCCAAAGTACTAGAATGAATGTCTTTCATTCTGCAGTGTGCATAAGATGCTGTGTTACATTTTGAATCTTACTGACTGAAACCTAGACTTAATTTTTTCCGGCTGTATTTTCTTCTCTGCCTTCATTTTTGTAAAATAAGAACCTTTTGAAAATTTTAGGCTACATAGGTTCTTATGAAAAGGGGGTAATAGCGCTGTCCACTATTACTAAAACTAGGTTTTGTCACCTTAGACCCCCTGCATGACTCAGACAAACTTTGCATTCTACTCAACGGCTTTGTATGAGCAGCATGCGCTTTTTAAAATGTTTTTTGAGCTTCATTCTAATATATAAAAGGCATTACTGATATAGGAAGTAAAACCTGGTCCAAGCAATACAAATAACCGATTAAATTCAGAAATTAAAGCGACCTGATCAAAAAGGGCTACTGAAATTGGATCCCTAGTTCTGTCAAGTCAGATAGCACTCTATGCACTGAAACATGACAACATTTCTGGCTGTGTAATACTCCAAAACTGAAATTGCAAGAGAGAAAATCGAGTTGTATGTGCTTCTTGCAAGCCTGTGGCAGAATTTCTAAGCTGAAGAGCACACCAACATTAGCACAAACTGGAAATTGTTTAAGTTTGTTCTGTTGTTGTGCGGCCAGGTAACCAAAGTAGCGTAATATAAGCACTCAAAAAAAAAAAACAACCTTTGCCTATAAATTTAACCAAATGCACCATTTTATGAACAGCTTTGAAGCCCTGCTCTCTGTACATTTCTTAAGCAAATGCCATAACATAATTTGACCCACAGTAATGACACCACATGAGAAATAAAATCACACATCTTGTTGTCTTGGCACAAGTCGATTATTTAATTCCTCGAGCCCGAATGGGCTCTGGGTCAATAGCCCATGAGGCCGAAGGCTGAAGGCTGAATGGGCTATTGACTCAGAGGCCATGAGGGCCAGAGGCATAATATTATTTTAGTAAAGTCCAACTACTTGATCAAAGACTTTGATCCTTTTTTGCCGCCAAAAATCCAGTACTTTTCGCTACTAGTGGGCTATAACATATAGCCTAGTAGTAGCTCAACAAATCAGAATGCAGCATTGATAACAGACCACTAGTTGGATTTTACTAATTTCAGGATATATGTTAGTGAAAAATCTTCAAAGACGACAAAATTTTGTTGGCGAACGTGACTTTCCCATACAAAACTCTTACACTGACCAGGTTCAACGTCTGAGTCACAGCAGGGACCAGAAATTTGTGACGTCATTGGTGCAAAGCGCTTTTCATGTCAGAGAGATAATATGTCTTAATTTGAACATGGAAGGGTCTTAATTTTGGATGGACAATCCGCCTCACCTTATCCATCTGTTTTTCTGTCAATTTTGACGGATTTTGAAGATGAATTAATAATAATTATGAGACAGAAAATCCGTCTCTAGTGTGAAAACAGCTAATGTGATAGTTTTCTGATTGCCAACTCTGTTTTGCGACAGGCCCTAAAGCCAATCAAATCCATCGCTTACATGATGTGGTGATCTATGTATAACAGCCAATCAAATCATTTTCCACACATTCTGAGAAAAATTACATGGCCTCCAGATACGATTAGCAAAGGTGAATCACAGATGCTCCTTCTCTGATTAATAGGCTGATTTAGCAGCACAATGGGAATGACAGTTGACAATGGTGCGCGCAAATCAAACAACTGGCTTGACCAAAGGTTGACCGGTAATTTGGGCACCAGAAGTCGAATTTAGTCTTTTCCGTGCGATTTCCCGTCGTCAAATGACATTCCCGTTCTGTTGCTAAATCAGCCTATTTCTGAGAGGAGGGGCCGCTGTACACAGGCTAAAGTCATCACAGGGGGCCCACACGATCTGTGTGTCTAACCGATGTCATTTTACAGTAAATGTACTGGATTAACCGTTTGCCTCACTTACGGTGATATATTGCTTAGTATGTATATAAATCAATGCTAAATAAATGTTGAATTACCTTACCTGTGGTATTTAGTTGCACTTTTGCCTCAAAAGTGGCTTTTTGAGCAATTTTGAAGGAGTTTAAGTTGGCCATTTACTATTCCTAATAATAGAAGGACAAGGGAGGAATCCTTGTTTTGAAAGGGCTCCATCCCTGCTTTCAAACCTCGCAGCAAAAAGGTGGAAAGATTCATGCTTCTTCTCGTACCTTTCGATCGAAAATCCATCCAAAAGGCCTGGGGCTAGCCCTCAAACGAAATTAAATCCCACAGTTTTTGAACGGTCAAAATGTGTAGCAATATTCATACGTGCCTGTCAGAAACCGTCCCAATGATTGCCTCTTTTTAATTGGATGTCGTTAAACAATGAATGCTACAAAGTCTTTTTTAAATCAGTTATTTAACCATTTGATTTACAACATCCAATTAACAAGACGCAATCAGCGGGACGGTTTCTGACTGGGACGTAGGAATCTTGCTACACATTTTGACCGTTCAAAAACTGTGGGATTCTAATAATTTTCTTCGAGGGCTAGCTCCGGGCCTTTTGGATGGATTTTCGATCGGAAGGTACGACAAGAAGCGCGAATCTTTCAACCCTTTTGCTGCGAAGTTTGAAAGCGGAGCGATGTGATTTTCTAGGGGAAAATCGCTCCGGCGCTGGAGCCCTTTCAAAACAAGGATTCCTCCCTTGTCCTTCTATTGTTAGGAACAGTAAACAGCGAAGTCAAACTCCTGCAAAATCGCTCAAAAACCGCTTTTGAGGCAAAAAGACGACTATAATACACAGGTTAGGTAATTCAACGTTTATTTATATACAAACTAAGCGATATATCGCTATAGGTGAGGCAAACAGTAAATCTAGTACATTTACTGTAACATAACAAGTCATAACATCGGTTACACACAGAGATTGTGTGAGCGCCCTGAAGTCATCTTAGCTTAAGTTCCTCGGTGACTTACACACTTTAGTTTAAACTCAAACACATACTACAATCTTAACGTTAAGATTTCCGTACAGCCCCATACATTTATTATGCGTACATTTTTCGACTCGACTATACTGATTCATGTTATTTTGTGTGAAGCAGTCTGCAGTTGCTGCATACAATGCATAATCAACGGATTGTACGGAAATCTTACCCAAACTTAAATAAGTTCACTTTACCTCTCATTTCAATCTCTAAAAACTTGTTTTCTACCTTCTTCACTGATCACAAAAAGAATTTTAGTTGGCACTGTCACAATTTAGTGTATCAGCTCCACTTCGTTCCCGTGGCATTCCCGCGGCGTGACAGGCAAGGAGCACATGTGACGGGATATTGTGACAGTTCTGTGACGTAACGGATATTCATGCTACACTCGTCCCCATATCCCAACGTCGAGTTAACATTTGATGAAGAACCTTTCGTTCAACCGGCCTTTCTTCCGTTCATTGTTTCATCATCTTCTGCAGTGGAATTTGTTATCAAAGGGGTGTCATCTTTTTGTTTAAGGTAAGAAAGCTTTCCCATGCATAGTGGATACCTAAAGTTGTAGAATCTATCGATATCTACAGTACATCTAGTTTCAAATCACGGGGTGAACTGCGGGCCCTTTTGCATTGTGAGGGCATTTTAATAGATTTCGTTTCTTGTTTGGTACACCATTGGTTGAAAAACCAGGAAAAAAGAGCCTTATTAGCACACAACCGATCGATTGACATCATCTTGTAAACAGCAACAATATTAACAACATGGCTTTCTGACAGTGCCCAATTGCTGGTTGCACGTGACGTCACGACGGCCGTGTTGGTAGTCCAGAACAAAAGCATTTCTCTCCTCTGGGAACTGAACTTTATTTTCATGTAAATCCTTTGCGAAAAATTCTGTTGTGTTGTGGTCCAACATAGAGAATAGAGTTTGAAAATAAATAGAAATAAGTAACATCAATTTCTCCTACCATTAAACAAAGGCACGTTTAACGTGCATGAGCTATTTTGAATGCTTCAGTGTAACCTTAATGCTTTGGTGTAACCTTACCAAGAGTGATGAATCTACCTTTTTCATCCAAAATGTAATGTGGGTTTTTGCCCAAAATTGGGTATTGCGGTATATAAAATTAATGAAAACGCAAAATGCTCAGCTTAGTCAATCCTCATACTATATATTCACTTTTCTCTGTCTTTCCTTGACAGATCTAGTTCAAGGTAAACAAATTTGTAAAGTGCAATAAACATCAACCCACCAAATGTTGATTAGAGGGAAAAATCTACGGTTTCCTCGGAGTTTCTTAAAAAATGTGGCTCATTGAATACCGAATGCTCATGAAAAACCAGCATTTTTATCATAATTTGTGGTAGATGGTTGCATTATCATAATTCCTGAGGTTTTCACATGCATTTCTACTCAGTGAAACAATCTTTAACTCTGAAAACTTAATTCTTCATGGTTAAATGCTATTGCTTCTCAAAATACAAGAGCCTTTTTTACAGCGGTTACCACTAACATGTGCCCTTGAAGGGTTTTTTCTCCCTGTTGAAACCCTAGTTTTCATGTACGTCAATCAACTGTTTCCATGGTTTTCTCACACGCTTCGACAGAAGGTTCTCTCATCCCTGAATGAAGGGCGAAGCCTTACAAGAATAATTTCCAATGACGACAGCATTTTTAATTTTATTTATTTCATTAAGATGAAAGATTTCATTGTTAAAACAACGAGGTCTCTGTGAGCTGAGTGAATAGCCAAAACACTCTCTATAGTTAACGTTAATTTTTTAGGAAGAAAACATGGTAGCCATGGACAAATTGCCAAGGAGCGTTCAAAGAATTATATTCAAAGAAACAAAAGATATCACACCAACAAGGGAAAAAAGTTTCCTCTGAATGGAGACTGTTTTCGAAAATGAATTTTGTAACCAGCAGATTTACTTATCATTCTTCCTGTTATCGAATAGAATCCAGAACTAGTAAGAACTCAGGTGAGTTGCCAGCATGTACTAAGAAAGTTTATGTGGTTATAGCTTACAGTTTTGTGTAAAAAAGTCGATAATTTGAGTTTCCTCCGACAAACACTCATCATACTCCTTGAAATCTTGACATGAAGAGGTGTCAGATCCTGTAGCAAAGTATTGCAAAAACCGCTTAAATGCCAAAATTTTCATCCGAGTGCTCGAGAAAGGGGGAAAAAATCTTCTCTTGGTCAACGGTTGATTGACGTTCACTGAACCGTAGGTCTGAATAGAGGAAAAACCCGTTTGAGGGCTCGTGTTAACCACTGTAAGGCATTGGTTACAAAACGAAACAGGTCTTTATACATTCAAGTTACTATTATTACTGTGCAAAGCCAATCTGCATGAGATGTACAGTCACACAGCTGGCACGTGAAAGTGTTGGACTTTGCCCCCTTTTGTGGTTCGTACGTGAGGGAATTCAAGTTATCACACAGTAATTGAGTTATCACACAGTAATCTACTTTTGAACAGTACTGTAGTAAACAGGATTGTAAAAATAACTCATAAACACAATTTGCATGTGAAGATGTTGGACTTTGCCCCTTTGAAAAATTTGTATGTGAAAGAACACATATTGTTTACAAGATTACTAAATGCTCAAACGATTTTAACAAATCACCTCCTTTTCTAACATCTGCAATAAAATTATTATCATTAATTACTTGACTTCTAACAGAATGATTGTCTACTGAACACTGATTTCTACTCATCTCATGTTATTTTACTCAATGAAACAATCTGTAATATATTATTATTTTGTCAACTGGCTACTATACTTCCAAGTTTATTTGCTAACGCAAAAGTTACGCATCTTTACTTTGTCACTGGGTAAATTAAATACTATGTTTTAATTCAACAAGTCGATATGTTGTGTAACAGTTATTATATATCCTTGAGTTTTATTTATTGAATGGCATTCCATATGTTTATAGCAGATTTAATACCTTAACTACATGAAACACTGTGTGACAAGCCTTTATAGCAGATCTTATGCCTTAACTACATGTACCACTGTGACAAGCCTTTACCATGTACTTGAAATGAACCATGGGAATCCTCAGATCCAATAATGGAGAGGCATAAAAGTTCATTGTACATGTATTAAGGCATACATGGTTTTGAAGTGGGCAGGGGTATTTCAAGAGTTCAGTATACAAGTCAGCTACAGTGTACTACAGTGTATAAGGTCTGGTGGCTCTTTTCAGAGTTTTTCATTTTTTTAGCTGTCTTACGTGTAGGCTTCCTAGAAAACAAATGATGCATTTCAGACGACAATATTTGAAGTAATGGCCAGAAACTACATACAGTAGTTTTATCTTTAACTAATAACAACGTTTATATCAATAGGAACTCTAACTGTAATCAGAAGCACTCAATGTCATATAAGCTTTCACCAGCACGTAGTGAAAGTGTCACCTCTGAAGAACACCTAAATGTCCACACAAGGCAAAAGCTGTATAGATGTAAGCAGTCTGACTGGGACGTAGGAATCTTGCTACACATTTTGACCGTTCAAAAACTGTGGGATTCTAATAATTTTCTTCGAGGGCTAGCTCCGGGCCTTTTGGATGGATTTTCGATCGGAAGGTACGACAAGAAGCGCAAATCTTTCAACCCTTTTGCTGCGAAGTTTGAAAGCGGAGCGATGTGATTTTCTAGGGGAAAATCGCTCCTGCGCTGGAGCCCTTTCAAAACAAGGATTCCTCCCTTGTCCTTCTATTGTTAGGAACAGTAAACAGCGAAGTCAAACTCCTACAAAATCGCTCAAAAACCGCTTTTGAGGCAAAAAGACGACTATAATACACAGGTAAGGTAATTCAACGTTTATTTATATACAAACTAAGCGATATATCGCTATAGGTGAGGCAAACAGTAAATCTAGTACATTTACTGTAACATAACAAGTCATAACATCGGTTACACACAGAGATTGTGTGAGCGCCCTGAAGTCATCTTAGCTTAAGTTCCTCGGTGACTTACACACTTTAGTTTAAACTCAAACACATACTACAATCTTAACGTTAAGATTTCCGTACAGCCCCATACATTTATTATGCGTACATTTTTCGACTCGACTATACTGATTCATGTTATTTTGTGTGAAGCAGTCTGCAGTTGCTGCATACAATGCATAATCAACGGATTGTACGGAAATCTTACCCAAACTTAAATAAGTTCACTTTACCTCTCATTTCAATCTCTAAAAACTTGTTTTCTACCTTCTTCACTGATCACAAAAAGAATTTTAGTTGGCACTGTCACAATTTAGTGTATCAGCTCCACTTCGTTCCCGTGGCGTTCCCGCGGCGTGACAAGCAAGGAGCACATGTGACGAGATATTGTGACAGTTCTGTGACGTAACGGACATCATGCTACACTCGTCCCCATATCCCAACGTCGAGTTAACATTTGATGAAGAACCTTTCGTTCAACCGGCCTTTCTTCCGTTCATTGTTTCATCATCTTCTGCAGTGGAATTTTTTTTAAAAGGGTCGTCATCTTTTTGTTTAAGGTAAGAAAGCTTTCCCATGCATAGTGGATACCTAAAGTTGTAGAATCTATCGATATCTACAGTACATCTAGTTTCAAATCACGGGGTGAACTGCGGGCCCTTTTGCATTGTGAGGGCATTTTAATAGATTTCGTTTCTTGTTTGGTACACCATTGGTTGAAAAACCAGGAAAAAAGAGCCTTATTAGCACACAACCGATCGATTGACATCATCTTGTAAACAGCAACAATATTAACAACATGGCTTTCTGACAGTGCCCAATTGCTGGTTGCACGTGACGTCACGACGGCCGTGTTGGTAGTCCAGAACAAAAGCATTTCTCTCCTCTGGGAACTGAACTTTATTTTCATGTAAATCCTTTGCGAAAAATTCTGTTGTGTTGTGGTCCAACATAGAGAATAGAGTTTGAAAATAAATAGAAATAAGTAACATCAATTTCTCCTACCATTAAACAAAGGCACGTTTAACGTGCATGAGCTATTTTGAATGCTTCAGTGTAACCTTAATGCTTTGGTGTAACCTTACCAAGAGTGATGAATCTACCTTTTTCATCCAAAATGTAATGTGGGTTTTTGCCCAAAATTGGGTATTGCGGTATATAAAATTAATGAAAACGCAAAATGCTCAGCTTAGTCAATCCTCATACTATATATTCACTTTTCTCTGTCTTTCCTTGACAGATCTAGTTCAAGGTAAACAAATTTGTAAAGTGCAATAAACATCAACCCACCAAATGTTGATTAGAGGGAAAAATCTACGGTTTCCTCGGAGTTTCTTAAAAAATGTGGCTCATTGAATACCGAATGGTCATGAAAAACCAGCATTTTTATCATAATTTGTGGTAGATGGTTGCATTATCATAATTCCTGAGGTTTTCACATGCATTTCTACTCAGTGAAACAATCTTTAACTCTGAAAACTTAATTCTTCATGGTTAAATGCTATTGCTTCTCAAAATACAAGAGCCTTTTTTACAGCGGTTACCACTAACATGTGCCCTTGAAGGGTTTTTTCTCCCTGTTGAAACCCTAGTTTTCATGTACGTCAATCAACTGTTTCCATGGTTTTCTCACACGCTTCGACAGAAGGTTCTCTCATCCCTGAATGAAGGGCGAAGCCTTACAAGAATAATTTCCAATGACGACAGCATTTTTAATTTTATTTATTTCATTAAGATGAAAGATTTCATTGTTAAAACAACGAGGTCTCTGTGAGCTGAGTGAATAGCCAAAACACTCTCTATAGTTAACGTTAATTTTTTAGGAAGAAAACATGGTAGCCATGGACAAATTGCCAAGGAGCATTCAAAGAATTATATTCAAAGAAACAAAAGATATCACACCAACAAGGGAAAAAAGTTTCCTCTGAATGGAGACTGTTTTCGAAAATGAATTTTGTAACCAGCAGTACTCATTCTTCCTGTTATCGAATAGAATCCAGAACTAGTAAGAACTCAGATGAGTTGCCAGCATGTACTAAGAAAGTTTATGTGGTTATAGCTTACAGTTTTGTGTAAAAAAGTCGATAATTTGAGTTTCCTCCGACAAACACTCATCATACTCCTTGAAATCTTGACATGAAGAGGTGTCAGATCCTGTAGCAAAGTATTGCAAAAACCGCTTAAATGCCAAAATTTTCATCCGAGTGCTTGAGAAAGGGGGAAAAAATCTTCTCTTGGTCAACGGTTGATTGACGTTCACTGAACCGTAGGTCTGAATAGAGGAAAAACCCGTTTGAGGGCTCGTGTTAACCACTGTAAGGCATTGGTTACAAAACGAAACAGGTCTTTATACATTCAAGTTACTATTATTACTGTGCAAAGCCAATCTGCATGAGATGTACAGTCACACAGCTGGCACGTGAAAGTGTTGGACTTTGCCCCCTTTTGTGGTTCGTACGTGAGGGAATTCGAGTTATCACACAGTAATTGAGTTATCACACAGTAATCTACTTTTGAACAGTACTGTAGTAAACAGGATTGTAAAAATAACTCATAAACACAATTTGCATGTGAAGATGTTGGACTTTGCTCCTTTAAAAAATTTGTATGTGAAAGAACACATATTGTTTACAAGATTACTTTGCTCAAACGATTTTAACAAATCACCTCCTTTTCTAACATCTGCAATAAAATTATTATCATTAATTACTTGACTTCTAACAGAATGATTGTCTACTGAACACTGATTTCTACTCATCTCATGTTATTTTACTCAATGAAACAATCTGTAATATATTATTATTTTGTCAACTGGCTACTATACTTCCAAGTTTATTTGCTAACGCAAAAGTTACGCATCTTTACTTTGTCACTGGGTAAATTAAATACTATGTTTTAATTCAACAAGTCGATATGTTGTGTAACAGGTATTATATATCCTTGAGTTTTATTTATTGAATGGCATTCCATATGTTTATAGCAGATTTAATACCTTAACTACATGAAACACTGTGTGACAAGCCTTTATAGCAGATCTTATGCCTTAACTACATGTACCACTGTGACAAGCCTTTACCATGTACTTGAAATGAACCATGGGAATCCTCAGATCCAATAATGGAGAGGCATAAAAGTTCATTGTACATGTATTAAGGCATACATGGTTTTGAAGTGGGCAGGGGTATTTCAAGAGTTCAGTATACAAGTCAGCTACAGTGTACTACAGTGTATAAGGTCTGGTGGCTCTTTTCAGAGTTTTTCATTTTTTTAGCTGTCTTACGTGTAGCCTTCCTAGAAAACAAATGATGCATTTCAGACGACAATATTTGAAGTAATGGCCAGAAACTACATACAGTAGTTTTATCTTTAACTAATAACAACGTTTATGTCAATAGGAACTCTAACTGTAATCAGAAGCACTCAATGTCATATAAGCTTTCACCAGCACGTAGTGAAAGTGTCACCTCTGAAGAACACCTAAATGTCCACACAAGGCAAAAGCTGTATAGATGTAAGCAGTGTGGAAAGTATTATAAAACAACAGGAAATCTCAAGATTCATGAAAGAATCCACAGTGGGGAAAAGGCTTTCAAGTGTAAAGAGTGTGGCAAGTGGTTTAGCCAATCATCACACCTAAGAGTTCATGAAAGAGTTCACACTGGGGAAAAGCCTCATGCATGTAAACAGTGTGGTAAGTGTTTTAGTGAAGCAGGAAACCTAAAGCGTCACGAAAGAGTTCACACTGGGGAAAAGCCTTATGAATGTAAGCAGTGTGGCAAGTGTTTTATTGATGCGTCAACCCTATTGAAGCACGAAAGAGTTCACACTGGAGAAAAGCCTTACAAATGTAAATATTGTGACTATTGTTTTAGCCAAGTAGGACGCCTAAGAATCCATGAAAGAAATCACACTGGGGAAAAGCCCTATGGATGTAAACAGTGTGACAAGTGCTTTACTGAAGCAGTACGACTAAGACTTCATGAACGAAGTCACACTGGAGAAAAGCCTTATGAATGTAAACAATGTGGCAAGTGTTATAGCCAGGTAGGAAATCTAAGAATCCATGAAAGAGTCCATACTGGGGAAAAGCCTTATGAATGTAAACAGTGTGGAAAGGTGTTTTGCCATAAAGGAAGTCTTAGAGCCCATGAAAAAGTGCACACTGGGGAAAAGCCTTATGAATGTAAACAGTGTGGCAAGTGTTTTAGTGTTGTAGGAAGCCTTAGTAGGCATGGAAGAATCCATACGTGTGTAAAGTTGCATGAATAATTACAGTAAAACAAATGCCTGTCTTTATGTCTGAATTTACCATAGAAGAGAGCAGGTTGAGCCAAAATTAACCTGTACCCAAGGGCTCACAAAGAAACTGAAATCAATGATAGTATGGAAGGGGTGAGATCAGCTATTTTTGAGATTACACAACTGTTGAATTTTTCAGGAGATTTAAGTAGTGAGGATCTTCTTCTTCAGAAAGTATTGCAAGTATGAACCTGCATTTTCCCAAGTTAGCCTATAGGGTCTTGAATAGGCTCTTATTTTCTAAAGAAAGATTATTTCATGGTATTCAGCTTATTCCTTATTTAAAATCTTCGTACATTTTTAACATAGCTCTTATGTGATATGCTGCGAGGTTTTAAGGCTCTCAACAATCTCGCGCCGTAAATTATTACATAAGAGCTATGTTACAATGTAGTGTCTTGGGTGGGGAGGGTGAATCCTAGGTATCACCAGTAGAGACTCAGTGAACCCATGGTTACATAAATTCAGTCAGATATCCATGTGCAGTTATCTTTACTTATTACTCACATAATTTTTTTATTTTTGTAAAACATGTATGTACCAGCTGGGATAAAACTCCAAATTGATATTGTATTGTCTTGTCTTGATACCTTTCGAACAAAAATGGTATGAGGGTTACTGGTCATTTTGATACAGGACATTTCGATACAAGTGTTTTCAGTTGAGGTGTAAACAGTTTCACGTCCTTGGCTAAACAAAGAAGAATATGCACCCAAAATATTTTTGGGTGCATATTGAAGTTGGCTTAAGAATGAAGAATATAATTTCACTCAAAAATGTTTTTGTTGCTCAGGCACAAACTACACTTGAAGTGAACACCATTTTTGTGCATTTGTGCTGCTTGAGTTTCTATCAAAACGACTTTCTATTGAAACGACTGATTTCCAAACAGATATTGCTTGCTCTTGCTGAGTGGCTCTAGTCAGTTTGGAAAAGCTTTTTGTTCTTGCTGGATAAGTTTTGATTCGGGGTGTTGAGGAACTACTGCAGCGTTAGCTCTACAGTTTATTGACACCCCTTCACTATCCTGTAGCCTGTTCACAGGCCCACTGTTTTCTCTTCAGAAATCATCGAGGGCACGTATGCAAATAAGCCCGCGAGGAATTTATTTATGTCCATGCACGTGCAGTGCATCTTTGGACAGGCTACTATCTGGAATAGCCTAGGGCCCAGTTCAAATGTCTAATAATAGCTATTTGGGTCGACCCAAGTTATATACAGTAGGGTTGATGGTTGGTTCAGACCAGACAAATTCCCAACGGTCACAGCCGTTCTGGCTGCTGATTGGTACCAGAAAACTTTTGTGCTTTTCTGCCCAATCAGAAGACAGAATGGCGGCGACCGTTTGGAATTGGTCTGGTAAGACATTGTCCCCAGGGGCTCTTCCCGACGTCCTTTACTTTTCTTCGTGCCATATTTTTCCGCCCATTTAGACTTTCGCTCACCCCCACTATCTGCCCCTGGGTCTCAGAGGGTGGCTGCAACCTGGGTCTCTGACAAATAACACTAATGGTACTTTAAACAAGAGTGCAGCACACCCACATACATTATTCGACCCACTTTCTAGACTTTGAAAATCTTACTACAAATGGAAACATATTGTCTTGACATTGAATTGTAGAGCATTTATTCACATAAATGCCCCCATAACATGCCATAAAAAAGTTCAATGCCGCTAGCTAGCTGCAACAGTCAGCCAAAAGCCAAAATTTATTGTCTACGTCATATTTCATTTTTAAAGAGGTATTGAAGGTGTAAAATTAAGAAATGATATGACGCAACAGTCGCGCATTTATGGCACTAGAATGCAAAACCTTGAATTACTTGAAGAGAAATCTGCAAGTTACCTTGGGTACCTGAGATCTTTCATGTCGGTTTCCAGTTTATATGTAAGTCTGGTCTTCATAGTGACCCACGGAAAAGCAGAAAAGTGTTCCACACACTTTGCCCTTTAAGCCGTAAGAGTGATCAGCATGAAATTTCTCCTTATAACATCAATTCTTTAGAAAACATAGTGGTCATGAGAATTGAATACATGATCAGGGAAGATGAGTCTAATTGATATTTCAATAAATTCTCCCCACTACTTGTATTGTATAGGGACAGTAAATGAGAGTCTCAATTTTAATATCAGGGTTTAAAGGGTTAAGGCAAAACCCTCTTGTATCCAGGTTAGTTTCGCCCACCACTAAAAAATGCCTAAAAGCCCAGTGGGAATCAAACCCATGACCTTCCAAGTACCTCTAACCACTGAGCTATGGGCGACTCACATGGAGGGCAAGTCACGGGTTTTTGGGTAGACTGCAAGCAACCTCTCTTTTTCTTCCGATTTAGTTAGGGGAGTGCACGCGCGCGCGAGCGTTGAGCAGCGAAGCCGCCAGACGCGAGAAACGAGGACGGCCTCTTCCGTCTCGCGCCTTCAGTCACGCACGTGGTCATTTGCGTGTCGCGGGCGTTTTTCTCGACGGGCCAAGGAAAAAGGGACACTGCTCGTAGTCTAGTTTTTGGGTAGCCACAGAATCAATCAGATAAAGAAATGTTGAAATAAAGACGAGCGAGATGAATGGTCAGAAACAACCTTTACCTAATGCACCTTTCAATTTTTAAAATAGGTCATTATTTTCAGTCAATAAAAGAGCATCACGAGTAATAATCATCTGGCCCCAGTTGTACCAACGCTAGATAGCGGTATCCCACCGGATAAAAATCTATCCAGTAGATAACGCAATTGGTTTCCCTAATACTTATCCACTGGATAGTGATTTATCCGGTGGATAGGGCTATCCAACGTTTGAAAAACCAGGGACTGCTGTTCTATACTCACTCTTCAGCCTTCTTAAAAGCAAAGTAGGGGAGTGCGTTCAATGGGGAGGGGTGATAAGTGGTGGGGTGGGTAGTTAAAGAGGGTATAAACCTTACTGTTCCTGTAAGATGGATAAATTAAAATCAAAATGAGATTTTCAGCAACTGCCTTTATCAGTGTTATTGTTTATCCTCCCGACTTTAAAATTCATTACTAATTCATTTTTTTCTCAGAAATGCAAGGCTGTATTTTTTACATTTACTTGGCTTTACCTCTAAGTAACAGCTTTTTGTCAAACACCGACTAGCCTCAAAATATTTTTTTAGGAAGGGACAATAAAACTGGCTAAAAAGTGGGGCCACCGAAAATTTGCGTCACCTGAAATGGTTATTGTTTAAGATGTCAAAGTAGACTGCAAGTCAGTGCGTATTTTTGCGTTTTCAAGTTCTCGCGAACAGACAAAAGGTGTGGAGAGAGGCTGAAAACGGAGAGCGAGACTGGGGAGAGACGCTAAAAATACAGACTGTCGCTGACTGTCCATTTTTCATACTTTACATTCGTACGAATTCTCTGCTACTCTCATCCACGGGCAATTCCCATTGGCTAAATTTTGATGCAAGCTGTTAACAAGCTGTCAAGTACTGTTTCCAACAAGTCATCGCGATGTTCCTTACCGTGATGAATTCATTCAGTCCGTTGGTGTGTTCAGTTTTTTTCTAATGTGCGAAAGCATCGCAGCGGAGTTTCTAATCTTAGACACCTTTGTTCCGCGAGAAAACTCTTGTGGAGAAAGATTCTCCTTCGTCGAGGAAAACGAAAAGTTCGTTTATCAGAAGGTTGGCTATCTTTGGTATCGTTTCATCTTTTTCTAGTATGGGCGAAAAGCATAAATTCAGAGCTTATCCGTCCAATCCCAAAATTGCCGAACTATCTGAAGCACTCGGTTGGGCTTTCTCCCTTTTCGAGGAGCAGGAACTGGCCTTGTGGGCGTACTGCCACTTCCACTCATTTTTGATCTTCCAGAAAACACTACATTGCACACGGAAAAAATGCTCAAGACTTAAGGTTTGGAATTACTACATGGACACAGCGTTTACCACAAGATTCGAACTAAAGAACAAACAATAACACGCGCTAATCCCTCGCGAAATCAATCACTGGGTGTATCAAATTTTACAAAGAGGGTGGAGTTGTTAATAGATGTTTGAAAGCTCGACGACGCTTTTGAACCCCCTGGTCAAAATGAACTCATTGTATGTGAAAGTAGTCTGCGAAGCGCAGACGCATCTGCGCTTCGCAGGCTAATGTGAAAGGGGCGGTGGTTTTTATCTCTCGCTCAGTATCGTGTGATGCTCGCGCGCGCGTGTGGCCTGCATAACTGGCGCTTTGTGAGCCAAGCGAGGCGAACACGGCGATCGTTATTTAGGGGTAAAGAATAGTAATAAAGATACGAAAAAATTTCTTCCGTTCTGTCCTTGTCTAAATTTATGGTGTTTTCGTAGTATTTGGGGCCGTTTTAGGGCGGTTCCAGCGAGTTTACTTCTGCCGTTATTCGTTATAGCGGGCGACAAGAGGAGCCCGCAATCCTAATCTCCAGGGCCCAGTTGTTCGAAGACCGATTAGCGCCTAACCCATGGTTAAATTTAACCCAGCTTTCTTTTTCTTTTGTTCAAAAGCATTTTCTCGGATAGTTTTCTCTGTTATTTTTAAGACCCTCCAATCATTAACCTGTTGACAGAAATAATTAGACTGAATTTACTTTTTATGCTTTCAAATCTGAATTCAAATTTCGCACTATAACCCTGGGTTATCTTAACCCAGCTTTGAACAACCCCCGCCCAGGTTGTTATTACACGTGGGTCTCATGTATGTAAGCAGCATTCATTTGGACTTCCACTAAGAATAAATGGAATGCACAGAACGCAATTTGATTATGCGCGTTTGGACCTTCTATCACTCGTAATCTGATCTCGCATGTTTTGACAATGTCACATGAAACTTACGCAAGCAAAGCGTTGGAGCAAAAGCGTTTTGGTTCGATCGTTGTCGCCCGCACTCCGTAAACTTTGGTTATTACCTTGCCTAGTCCCGATACGGTGTCTTTCTAGGCCCTCTCGGTCAATGCATTTCTGTGACGTATTCGAGACGAACGGCCGGGAGGCGCCTA